AGAGACGCCTCCAGAACTAGTGGGCCAGGAACAAGAGGCAGAGCTGAAGCCCAAGGTCAAGGAGCCTTCACCCAGCCTCTAAAAAAATCCCAAAAACTCAATGCCGTCAAGTCGGTTCTGACTCATAGCGATCCCCTCGAGTTTCTGAGGCAGTATCTCTCCGGAAGTAGATTGCGCAGTCTTCCTTCTGAGGAGTGGCTAGTGTGTTTGAACCACCAGCCTTCTGATTAGCAGTCAAATGTCTTAGACTACACCACCAGAGCTCCCTACCCAGCCTCTAGAGCTGGCATTTTGGACTCAGACTTCTAGCCTCCTAAACTGTAAGAGAATAAACCCCTGTTTGTCAAAGACACCCACTAGTGGTATTTTCTGTTAGAGTAGCACAAGAAGGCCAAAACGCCAGGCATAAAAAATATGAAGGTGACTGTGTGGAGGACCTAGGCATGAATGATGTGGAGGTGACAATGTAGGGGAACCCAGGATGTAGAATGTGGAGGTAATAATATGGGAAGACTTAAGGGTAGAGGGTGTAGACATGACAGTGTTGGGGGACTCAGGTGTGGAGGGCATGATGGTGATTGTGGGGGGTACCCAGCTGTGGAGGATGTGATAGTGACTATGTGGACATGTAGGATATAACCTGGGCCTGGAGAACATGATGGAGACTCTGCTGGAGCATCCTTGCATGGAGGATGTGGAGGTGACCATGTAGGAGAACCAAGGCATGGAGGATATTATGATGACTATGTGACTGTACCCAAGTAGTGGAGGATGTGGAGATCACTGTGTAGGGGGACTCAGGCATGGAGGATGCAAAGGTGACCATGGGGGTGGGGAGAACCTGGGTGTGGAAGGCATGGCAGTTATTGTGTTGGTGTGACTCAGCCATGGAGGATGTGGAGGTGACCATGTAGGGGAACCCCAGTTGGGGGACATAATGATAATGTGGAAGGGGCACAGAATTAGAGGACTTGCCAGTGACCCTGTGGAGGATGCAGGTGTGGAGAACGGCAAGGTTACCATGTTAGAAGACCAAAGAATAGAGCCTGTGATGGTGACCATGGGGAGAAGTAAGTCTGGAGGGCATGACAGTGACCCTGGTGGAGGATGTAGATGTGACGCTAGAGGGGGGACTTGGACATGAAGGACAGGATGATATTAGGTGGAGCATCCCAGCATGAAGGGCATGGAGGTGACCATATGGAGTGATCTAGCTGTGGAGGTGACTGTGTAGGGGAACCCACTTTTGGTGATGTGACAGTGACAGGGTGTGTGTGTGGGGTTACTCAGGATTGGAGAACTTGCCAGTGACCCTGGCAGAGTCCAGGTATGGAGGACCTGAAGGTGACCATATGTGTGGACTAAAGAGTGGAGGATGTAACAGTGACTATGAAGGGAGGCCTGAGCATTGTGAACATAGTGGTGACCATGTGCGGTAACCCAGGCATGAAAGATGTGATGGTGTGTGAGGCAGACCCAAGCATGGAGGATGTGGAGGTGACCATGGGAGGGACCCAAGTGGGGAGGCCATGGAGGTCACTGTGTAGAAGGACATGGGTGTGGAGGATGTGACAGTGACTCCGATGGCAGATCCAGGCATGGAGGATGTGCATGTGACCCTGTGCGGACTTGGGCATGGAGGATGAGATGTGCACCATGGTGGGGACCCAGGAGTGGAGGTGACCATGTGAAGGGACCCAGGCATGCAGGGCACTGAGGTGATTGTGTGGGTGAAATCTGAGTATGAAAGATATGAAGGTGACTATGTGGGGGAACTGGACCTGAAGTTCCTGGAGGTAATTTGACAGCGAAGGCATAGAGGTCATCGACAACAGTCAGTCCCCCAACAGGGGGATGTGATTGTGGAAGACATCACAGTGATCATGTCAAGGGGACCTGGGTGTGGAGCATGTGGAGGTAACCATGAGGAGAACCTGGGCCTGGAGGACATGAGTGACCCTGGTTGAGGATCTGGGCATGTTGGATGTGGAGGTGACTGTGTGAGGGACCCAAGTGAGGAGAATGTGCCAGTGACTTGAGTGGGGAGACCTGGGCATGGGGATATGACAATATTGTGTGGGGGGACCCAGGCATAGAAGACATCACAGTGACTATATAAGGAGAGAGCATGGTGTGGAGAACATAAAGGTGACGCTGGTGGAAGATCCAGGCATAAAGGAAGTGGAGGTAACCATGTGGGTTGATCTGGGCATGGAAGAGGTCATGGTGACCATATGGGGGGACCCAAGCATGGAACATGTGGATGTGACCATGGGGGAACATGGGCCTGAAGGACATGACAGTGACTATGATCAAAGATCCAGGTGGTGTAACCATGTTGTGAACAATGTAATGGTAAACCTGTGGGGACATGGATGAGATGGTGACTCTGTAGGGAGAGCTGGGTGTGGAGAATCCAGGAATGGAGTGTGACAGTGACAATGTGTGTGTGGGACCCATGCATGGAGGATGTGGCAGTGATCATGTGGGGAGACCCAGGGGTAGAGGACATGGTGGTGACTATGTGAGGGAACCTAGGGAATAGAGGGTGTGATGGTGATTATGTGGGGGACCCACACATGGAGAACATGGATTGATCATGTGGGGCATATCCAGATGTGGAGGATCCAGGCATGGAGGATGTGATGATGACCATAGAGGGGACTTGGGCCTGGAGGACCTAACAGTGACCATGGGAAATAATCTGACTGTAGAGGATATAAGGGTGACTGGGTGGGTAACCTGAGCATGGAGAGCATGACAGTGACAATGCAAGGGGGAACCTGTGTATGGAGGATGTTGTGGTGATAGTGTAGGGAGACCCAAACATGAAAGGCATAGAGGTGACCATACTGGGGGGACTCAGGTGTAGAGGATGTAGAGATGGATGTGGAGAGGGGCCCAGGCACGGAGATCTTAACACTGGGAACACAGTAGTGACCATGTAAGGTAACTCGGGCATGGAGGATGTAACAGTGGCCATTTTGGGGGAACTGGGCAGGCATGGAAGATGTAAAGGTGACCATGTGGGAAAAACTGTGCCTGGTATGCATTGAGGTGACAGTGGGTGGGAGGGGAACTCAGGCATGGAGGTCACTGTGACTATATTGGGGCAAGACATCACAATGACTATGTAGAGGTGATCTGGAGTGAAGCACATGGAGGTGCCCATGAGGACCTGGGCCTGGAGGACATGACAGAGACCTTGGTCAAGGATGTAGCTGTGAAGGACGTGGAGGTAACCATGTGGGGAAACTTGGCATTGGATGTGTTGGTGCCTGTGGGAGAGGACCTGCCATGGAGGCTATGATGATGATTGTGTGGGAGAACCCAGGCATGGCAGACTTGACTGTGATTCTGTGGGGGGACACAGGTGTGGAAGACACAGTGTGTAGTGGGGACCTGGGAATGGGGTGTGTGGAGGTGACTGTAGGGGGAACCTGGGCCTGTCATAGTGACCCTGGTGGAAGATCCAGGTATGGACTTGGAGATGACCATGTGAGGGAGTCAGCTGTAAAGGATATGGTGGTGACTATGTTGAAAAACCCAGTTATGGAACATGTGATGGTGACCATGTAGGAAAAGCCAGGTATGGAAGATGTCAGTGACCATGTAAGGGGACCTGGGTGTAGAGCACATGGATCTGACCATAGGGCAGGGGATACAAGCCTGAAAGATAGGATGATGACCCTCATGGTAGATCCACACTGGAGGATGTGGAGGTCACTATGGAAGATATGAAGTGCCTGTAGGGGTGATCCAGGTGTGGAGGACATTAAAGTGACTCTGTGACCTCATGGAGACCTTGGCATGAAGGATGTGAACATGACCCTGATGGAAGAACTGGGCATTAAGGACATGGAGGTGACCATGGGGCGTGGACCTGAACCTGAAAGATATGATGGTGACTTTAGTGAGGGATTCAGGCAGGAAGGATGTGGAGACGACCATGTAGGGGGGCCACAGAACAGAGAACATGACGACGACTATGGGGTTGGGATATAAGCGTGGAGAGCATGTAGGTGACCATGTGAGGAGACCTGGGCATGCAAGACTTGACACTAACCGTGTGAGGGGATCCAGGTTTGGAGGATATGACTATGACTGTGTGAAGGACTTGAGCATGGAGGATATGATGGTGACCTTATTGGAGGATTTAGGTGTGGTGCACATGGAGGTGACGGTGGGGGGGACCTGGGTGTGGAACATGTACAGGTGACTATTGGGGGACCTGGGCATGGAAGACATTGCAGTGACCATGGTGGGAGGGATCCAGGCCTGGAGGATGTGTTGGTAACCATGTAGGGTGACGTGGGCATGGACATTACAGGAACTCTGTTGGGTGGACTTATGCACAGAGAACATAACAGTGACTGTGTGAAAGGACCCAGATGTGGAAAACATGACAGTGACCACGTGGGGACCCAGGCATGTAGGATGTGATAGTGACTTTGTTGCAAGATATGGAGGTAACCATGTATTTGGGACCTGAGGAGGGAAGCTTGCACATCACAGGTCCTTGCCCTGCTCCTATTCTGTTTAAATAAAATTCTGTTTATTCTATGTTTAAACCCAAATACAACTTTTATTTTCTACTTTCTGCAGTAAATTTTTTTCTGGAATAGCAGGAACAAATACATATAACTGGCTTGGACAAAGGACTCACTTTGAAAAGATCATTTGATTATAAACCAGGAAACATGCCTTCAGCTGAGGGTAAGAAGAACTGTCACCGACATGGTTTTCTCCCCAGGACAGCAGATATCCAAATGTGTCCATGGAAGATCAGCGTAACCTTGGTGAAACGCAGAGAGCACAAGAGTGGAGAGAATGGAGGCCCAAATAAAAACAGGACACATTTCCAAAGTGGAGACATATTTAATAAAATAAGATCACTAAAATAAAAAGAAGTTGTATACAATCCATTGCCCCTCACTGGCTGCTGCACAAGTGCCCATGCTTAGCTGGGGTCCTTCAGGGTACTGCTGCCACAGGGCCTAGCCACAGGCCTCACTCCCGCAGGAGCTTGTGTTTGACGGTGGTGCTCTCAGAGCAGAGGTGCACAAACAGCGTGCCAGCAGCCGTGCGGGCCTGCAGTTCCTGCAGCTCATAGTCATGGGCCCACTCGACGTTGCCCCACTTCTGGATCTGAGGGGAGAGCCAGATATGCTAACTGTGAGGGGACCCAGTGCCCAGCTCCTATCAAGCCAAAGCTACATCCACTGTAGGAGGCCAGGCTAAGCGAGCAAAGGCTCCAAACCAGCAGGCACGAGACATGCAGGGGAAGAAGCAGGTGGCCAGGTGGCTGTCCATGCTCAAAACGCAATGATGATCTGGGAGGGCACAGGCTAGGCCCAAGACCAGTGGCCTCCACTGCAGCGTACAAACCAGAAACCAGGGCTCCTGGCTCCTTATCAATTCCGTAACATCACAAATCATACCTCACCCTGTTCGATCCTTTGTAACATCAAGGGAAGAGCTAGCTTCTTTTGTTATACAGAAAGGGATATTCCCCCAGTATTTCCTGAATCAGCAGATGACTACGTGGATTTGGGAAATATTGCCATTGCAAATAAGTTTTCATCATACTGAGAACCAAATCCTAATAGCAATTCACCTTATGACTACAAAAAACATTATAATTTTCAGAATTATAAAATGCAAATGATAACATAGCCAAAACATGATGGAATCTGAGCGTACTAAATCAGAACTTGTGTGCAAACAGCAGCTCCCTTTGCTTGCCTCTGCCAGTCAGGCTAACTTCTGGGGAACCACTGGGGCTGAAGCAGGGCTAGTCTACTTAAGAGCACACATGACACTTCAACAATGACAGCACTTTGCATGTAGATCGTCTCAGACAATCTACATCTGTCCACGAGCATCTTTGGGGGAGGGGAGGTGTTTGTGGTGGAGGCCTTCACACCTGGTATTTCCTAGCCATGCACCCTATGCCTTGGTTTTCTCTTGTGAAAAATGAGGGTAATGGCAACCCCAACTTCAGCTGTTTCAAGGCAGTGAGACCTGAGGGTAAGATGTGATCACAGGGCTAAGGTACAGGGTTAAACTTACTGCCATGATCTGATTCTCTCCATCTCTTGGCAATATTTCTACTGGCCCTAGTTTTGATTTCAGTATATGCATGCAAGTAATAAAGGTCACGTTTATGTTAAAAAATTCAGATGTGATACCCAACCCCCTAGTAAGTTCAGAAGGGGTATTATTGTAACTTATCAATGGTCCCTTTCTCCCTGAGTGGGGAGAAAACTGAAGACAGCCCCAAGGCCATGGCCTACCTCACCTGGTATTCCTCCTCCAGGCGTGACAGCAGCACAGCCTGTTCCACTGTCAGGTGCAGGTCCATCAGGCCCAAGGTCAGCACAATGGACTTGAGCTGGGTCACCACAAACTCAATCCCTGTAGGACACAAACCAGGATTCCCCCACCCCAACAGGGCAGCTGCTCCAATCCTCCCCCCGACCCATGAGTCCCTGCAACCCAAACCCACTGCCATGGGGCCAATTCTGGTTCATAGTGACCCTACAAAAGGGAGTAAAACTGCTCCATAGGGTTTCCAAGGCTGTAAATCTTTATGGAAGCAGACTGCCACATCTTTCTCCTGCCAAGGCTGGTGGGTTCAAACTGCTGACCTTTTGGTTAGCAGCTGAGCACTTTAAACACTGTACCATCCACAGCTCCTTCCTATACCCCAAGAAGTGGTGAAAGGCACTAAATGGGGGAGAATGGTTAGAGGAAGCAGCTGCTGTGTTGTCCTGCTCTATAATCATCCTGTTTTCTTCTGAAGAGTACATCCTTCCTTGAGGATGGTCCTCTGCTCTTAACTGGGGCAGGCATGTGACCTGTAACTGGCAATCAGAACACTGCACACTCCTGACCTAGTGACTGATTCAGGGATGGGGATGTGACCCAAGCTTGGCTAATGACACAGTGACCCAAGAACTGTGCTGGAGAAAAGAAACCCAGCTTTCTGCTGAAAGGGTGTGAACCTGGATTGCAGGCTGAGTAAAACAGCTGAGCCAGCCTCCATCTTCAGAGCCACCCTGGGAGCTCCCCTAGGGAAGGAGGAAGCATAGTCTCCGGACACAAATACCCATTACCCCTGCCGTCCCAGCCCCAGCAAGCTCCATGAATACCTTGGAGAGCCCACATGTTGTAAGATTCCAGATGACTGGCAAGTGCCTCCTGAGTCTTGGCTGGGATTCTAGGCCCCATGATGCTGGTAGAGGCACCAATCTCCACATTGTATCTGAAAGGAAAAAGCTTCAGCCTGTCCTCTTGCTGTGGCCTAAGAGCAGCCCAGCTTTCACCTAGAAATAAAGACCTAAGCTGCTGGGCATGTATGAGCCCCTTCAGGGTATCTGACCAAGGAGCCAGTCTTGGGGGTTCTGAGAGCTACTGCCACTCGCTAGTGGCCTCATGACCTAATTTTCTGTTCCCCAAGCACAAACCCAGAGGACCAAGAAACTGCCTTGAATAGCTGATAAACTGTGCAAGCTAGGTGCATATGTGCACAGCTGCCAGAAACTCTGACTAGTGTCCCAGAATCTCTAGCAAATGCATGGACATCTGCTTTTTAAATGTTTTGAAAAAAGTCTTTCACATTTGAAGCCATAAAAGATTTCTTTTAAATATGGATTTCCTTACAACAATATTTCTGTATGTCCTATATAACTCAGTCATTTTTTTTTTTAGTTCAACAAATATTTATGGCCTCTATACCATACAGGGCACTATTTCTGATCTATGATATCAACTGGCTTCAAGCAATGATAAATTTTCAAGAATAATCATAACTATATAAAGCACATGAAAAACATAACAGAAAAACTATTTTTGTAATTTCTTTCATATATTACTGATTTCCTACTCATTTAAAAATATCCGTGTTGAAATTTCTAATGTTGTTGTTGTTATGTGCTGTCGAGTTGGACCCAACTCATAGCGACCCCTCCTTGGGTTTCTGAGATGGTATCACTACAGAAGTAGATTGCCCAACCTTCCTTCCGAGGAGTTGCTCGTGGGTTTGAACCACCAGCCTTCAGGTTAGCAGTCAAGTGCCTTAAGCACTACGCTACCAGAGCTCCCCCAGTATAAATCAAACTTAGCTGCTTTCAGACAATTTTGTACCATAGCACAGATCTCGAGGCACTTAAACTTTGTTATATTTAATTTGATCTCAAAATGACATCATGTCTTCATATTTCTCACTCAGTATTGTAGCTGTTAGGAGTCCCTGGGTGGTGGAAACAGTTAAGCACTCAGCTGCTAATTGAACAGTTAGAGGTTCAAGTCTACCCAGAGACACCTTGGAAAAAAGGCCTGGTGGTCTCCTTCCACAAAACTGGTCTCTGACAACCCCATGGAGCACAGTTCTAGTCTGACACCCATTGAAACTACTCGATGGCAACTGGTATTGTAGCTGTTACACCTCACTTGATCTCTTTATTGTTAACTCCCATGGAGTGTTGGCTGTGCCTTTTACTTTAAAACTGCAGGGTGCCTGGCACATTGAGAGCACTCAGTAAACAAGCAGCAAATGAAGGAGACAGATCGGGGAACTCATTTTTGTGAAAAATGTTACACCAAAAAACATTCCATGTAGGCTCACAAAATACTGTGCTCAAGGCATACCAAAGTCAGCTTGCCTACATTTTCCTTGGAATGAAATCAAATTGAATTTTTTTTGCCATGTTATTGATAGTCTGTTCAATTTTGCACTAAAAAATCTTCCTGTTAAGAACAAATATTGGGAATCATCAGTTCCTAGACCTGCATAACTATAGGAGAAACATTACCTGTGGTTCTACAGTGACACTGCCCAGACTTGCCTCTGCCTGTGTTATGTGTACCATGCATATTGCTTTGTGACCCACTTGAGTGTAATAATTGTGGTGATGACAAAGATGACAACTGCCAGCATGTAAGCATGTGCATGAGACAGGCAGGGTGCTAGCCCCTCACAATCACCACTGTGCTCATGCCTGTAGCCCCTGAGAGAAGGCATCGCCAGTTCTACTTTACAGACAGAGACTGAAGCAGAGACGAAGCTGCGCAGCTAATAAGTGACAGAGCTGGGACTAAACCAACACTGCAGCTTTAATCCACTAGGGGCAGGTGGCCTAGGGACTCTGGTGTTGTCTAGTACACAACAAGAGCAGGTACCCAGTGCTCAGCAGTGGAAAATCTGAGGAAAACACCTAAGGCCATTTTTCTCAAGGTGACCCTAGCCCTGAACTTCTAAGAGATGCTTAATCCCAGGGGCATCTGAGCTTAGAATGTTGACTAGCCAACAGTTTGTCCAGTGTGGCCCTAGGCCCCATATCCTGGTGACCAGTAAGGGCTTGCCTGGGGGTGGAATAAATAGTGCATCGTGCATCTTACCTCTTCTCGGCCCACTCAATAATGGGGTCCCATTCATTCTTCTGAAGTTCCACTAAGGTCTCCGGCTCCTCCACCCTGTAGCTAATTCATTGCAAAAATCGCCTTCATTAATAAAAAAAGAAGTTCAGTTCCTTTATTCAGTGACAGAGGGCTAAAGCAAACACTTCTTCTCCCCCAACCCAGCCCCAAAAGCCAGCCTCTCATTTCTTTCCCCTAAGGCAGTGGGTCTCAAAGTATGGTCCTGGGGCCAGTGGCATCAGCAGTACCTCGGAACTGGCTAAAGTTAGAAACTCTGGGATGAGGCCCAACAATCTGTGGCTTAGCAAGCCCTCCAAATAATTCTGATGTAAGCTCTAGTTTGAGAACCACTGCCCTAGATGCCTCCTATTATTAGACAGGTAAAAGCTGGCAGTTGATGACATTCTAAAGCAGATTTGCTCTCCTAACTATATTCCTGGACCCATATCTACTTGATGCTTGGATGCTGAATATGGATATTGTGCCAGGAGTTCAGTCATGGCAGCCCTGACCTTCCCCCCTCCCAAGAGACAGTGTGTGCCTTCTGAGTCCATCCCAGGCTATAGGTGCTTAGGCTGCATAGAAGCCTGCTTCAAGGGTCCAGGCTGCAACACTTGTCTGACCAGGAGAAATGCAGATGGAGTTAGTTGAAGGAGCTGAGCGGCAAGGCCTCGAGGGATGGGCCCCAGGTGGCCTGATGGAAAGCCACTGGCCCATATAAGCAGAGGTGAAGAGAGTGTAAGGTGCAGAAGCAGAGGCAGGGAAGAACAGACAGACTCAGCAAAGCCACCCCAAAGGCAGAGGAAAGGGCTCCAGCGTTCCATATTTAGATTCCATCCCCAGTGGTGCAACCATTCTTCATTTCCTGTCAGAGTCTCTTTATTGTTTCCAAGGAACCCTTTGACCTGAGTTAGAGTGAGTAGGTTTCTGCTCCTTCAATCAAATGACCCAAATGCACTTGGTTTTCTGACCAGCAGCTCAAAATGGGCATTATGGCCTCCTGATAATAGGCACCTTTGCTCCTCCTCAACCCTCAGCTGATTTTAGATGTTGTCCATGAGGCACCTAGGATCTTAGTTGCCTCAGACCAGCAGATAGCAGATGTGGCTGCTCCCCTACATAGTTCATCCCTCAGCATCACTGATCGACTAGCAGAGAACATAAACACAGGAGAATTTAGAACTGGGGGAAGCCAGCTCTTTGATGTCAACATCTGACCAGTCGTGTGTCTAAGCTGAAAAATGACAAGGATGCCTAGAACAAGGATGCCTATGTGAGAATGGATGTGGAAGCCAGAAGCCAAGGGTGAGAGACCCACTGGGGTTGGCGGTACCCACTGAGTCCCGGAATCAGAAGTACTGCCTGTACCCACCCCAGTTCTGGGAGCAGAAACTGGGTTACAAGAGGGTCATGACCTGTGTCAGGCATCTTTGTCCTAGGGATGTGCAGAGATGCACGGTGCCGATGTCAAATGGACTGCCTCCCTCTAGTCCTCCCCATCCCCATAAGGTAACAGGAACCACCCTTCCACTAATAACAGCCTAGCACATGAGGCAAAGTGACTTAGAGGAATTAGCTTGGTCCCAGGGGAGTGCCATCAGTGTCTTTACCAGATGGTGTCGGTGTCCAGAAACTTCATAACTGCCTGGATCAGCTGGTCCTTGTTTCGCTGTGTTGGGTTGTCTAAAGAAGTGTTGCACAAGGTGGTCTGGATCAAAAGGCAGAGAGTGCCCCATGATCACCTGTAGGCTCAGGCCAAAGCACAACCTTCCTGAGGACACTGCATCTAACACACAGCAAAAGGCAGAGAAGCAGACAGCCACAACCAGGGAAATGGTCTGATGGGTCCTCACAACCACATCTATTGAAAGCTTACCATGGTAGGTTCTGTGATAAATGCTCACAAGATTCTCAAGATAGCCCTCTTAGACAAAAGAATGAATGGATTCTCCATGGTCTCATGCTCCTTACTACCAGGGTCTGCTGTATTTCATGTAATCCTCACCATAACCCTCGGGGGTCTCTCTACCCATTTCAGAGATATGAAAAGTAGGGCCCAAAGAGGTTAAGTACATCATCAGATCCTGCAAATAAGACCTGTAAACAGAACTGGCATACAAAACTACTGACTGTAAGCTTTACTACTTGGTTCCCCAACACCTCAGAAAGCAGGGAAACAAAACATCCAAACTGGGATTGAGATGGTTTTTCCAGATTTGCCTTGTTGACAGTGGGTTGCTTACGCCACTCTAACAATTAGCTTGTGGCCCCAACCACCCTAATTTCACCAGACTGTCAAAGGAACAGGCAGCAGCACAAAAGGTGGTGAAGGGTTGATAGGAAGCCCACCAAGGTCTGTGTCAAGGGAGAGCACAGCAACAAGAACAGCTGATCCCAGTTACTGAGTGCTCACCTGTTTCTGCATCTGTCCACAACTTCACACACATCACCTCATCTAATTCTGACCTCACTCTACTCAGTAGGTACTACTAGCATTCCACTCCCACAGACAGAGACCTAGGCTGAGAGAGGAACAGGCACTTGCTCAAGGTTCTAGTCTGGAAGCCACAGAGCCTGGAGCCGAAGCTCACAGTGCCTCTGTGAGACACTTTCGAGGGCTGGCTTCACAGTGAATCATCCCTCCTCCATGGCTTCCATTTGTTCTTTCATTCAGCAGTATTTACTGAGTGCCAGCTAACCTTCATGCTAGGCGCTGGGCACACCTGGTGAATAGAAGAGACATGGCCCCTGCCCTCATACTGCTTACAGTGGAAGAGACAGACAACAAACATATAAACCAAAAATGCACAACTGTAGCTGCCATCATAGACAATAAGAAAACTGGAACCTCTCTTAGGAGGTGGCATTTGTGGCAAGGCCACAAGGGGAGAGGTTTCTGTGGTCAGGGGGCTAGAGTCCCTCATGTAGGATCTGGCCAGAATTTGGAGAAGCATCTACATTTCTCCTGAGCCCTGGAAGAAGCCATGGGAGTTGTGGGAGAGAGGATTAGGGCACAGGTTGGCAGTGTGAGCTCGTTACCAGGTGCATGGTGTAGAACTTGATGGTATCCTGCTGGGAGTCCCATTCAGTGGCCACTGCAGTGGCCAGGGCCTCACTAGGAATGGTAAAGAGCTTGGCTTGGGGTGTTTTCAGCTTCCTGTGGTCCAGGTTTATTTCAAAGCCACCTTGAAAGAGCAAATGAAAACATCTCAGGGATTGTTAAGTGGAATTGACTGACCATTCCTATATTTAGCAATGTGAATTAATACAAAGGTAACTCAGTCCCTTCACTGAAGGCTTACAGAAACATATCTGACAAAAACAGGAGGGGCCATCTCACCACAGAATCAGGTGGAAATGAAAAATGTGTCCCCCAAAAAGAGGCAGTCAAAATTTCAGACACTCACCTTCACCTTGGGTGATACTGACGTTCTGATAAAACCTCTTCCTTTCTGTAAGAAAAATTTTTTCAAAAAGGGAGCTTAAAATAACATAGGGACAGTTTAAGAACTGACAAGCTCAGCTTGTAACACTATTGCTGATGTTGATTTATTGGCTTGATTTTCTTATCATCATTTAAGCTCCAATCAATTCTATACAGTAACATCAATGGCTCTGACTGAGGCTGAAAGCAGGGCTGGCAGGGGAAGAGAGCACCCATTCTCCAAGTATCAAGAGTGGAACAGGAGGACATGCCAGTCATGCTGCCCAAGTCACCAAGCCTCCAGGGACAAATGTGATCATGCAGTATCACCAAACTCCAAAGACAGCCTGACTATACAGATTTTCCTACTACCTTCAGCTTGAACTTCCCCAACTCCCTACCACCAGCGCTGCCCCCAGTCAATACAGTATCAATGGGATAAAGCCAGAGACCCACTTCTAAGCAGGGATAAGCGAAAAGCCAGCATTTGTGTGCATGTGTGTGAGTGCATGTGTGTACATGTGTAGTACACAAGCAGTAAGCAGAGGTCTCAAGAGCATTTTCTATTCCCTCTATCAAATTGGGAGCTCTGGTGGCATAGTGCCTAAGGCATTTGACTGCTAACCAGAAGGCTGGCGGTTCAAACCCACCAGCCACTCCTCAGAAGGAAGGTTGGGCAATCTACTTCCACAGTGATACTGCCTCGGAAACCCAAGGAGGGGTCTCTGTGAGTCGGATCCAATTTGAGGGCAATGGGTTTGTTTTTTTTGGTTTTCTATCAAATTAATTAACCTAATTATCCAACTGGTTTATATTCAACAGAAACTCCAAACATTTCCTTTAAGAAGTGAAAAATCTGTGTCCTATGTTCTCTTTTGAAAATAATTCGAATAAAATCTTACATGAAAATGTAAACACATTCTCCCTTTTATCCAGGAGGGATTAAAAACCAAGAGCACCTCAGAAAGAATTATGCAAATTCTCTAAACTAATAAATAACAAATAGGTCACATTTTGGAAGCCATAAACCATAACACAGTCTCCAGTCTCTGTGATAAACACAAATCCTTCATGTATTTACTCATTCATTCACCCATTCACTGGGTACGAAGACCCTCAGGGTCCCAGACTGAAGTTACATACTGAAGTAATGATGTAGCATATGGAGGAAAAGGAGACTCATTAAATAATTTGCTTTTAACATCTTTTTTTAAAAACCAACCAAGCTTAAGTTAAAACTGTATTAATTCAAACAGAGAATTGAATTGATTATTCAGTTAAGCAATTAATTCAAATTCAGGAGAACTTGGTGTGTGTGTGTATGTGTGGGGAAAGTAATGGAGAAAGGGTATCTGGTCGTACTCCAAGCATATTCTTTTTGTTTTGCCATACACCTGTTTTAAAATATCATGGGGTTTTTTAAGTCAGACCTGGCCATCAAGATGAGGATGTGTTATTATGGCTTAATTCACTGTCTTCCTCTGAAATCCTAACACTGATTTTCTCATATACTCAGCCCCAAGAAAGAAGGCTTTTTATACTTCCTTGCTGTCCATGCTATGCCAGTATTGTCCAAATGGCAGGTCCATGGGGGTCTGAAGCCTCTTTTCATGTCTCTGGTCTGGAGCAAGGTATCAAGACTATGTCCATTATGCCTTCAGATGACTGGGCTGAGCAGCTGCCTATACCCAGGCCAGGCCAGGCGTGAAGGTGGGAAGACTGAAAGCACTCCAAAGGCCTGACTCAGCACTGGCTAAGGTCTTCCCACATGGGCAGGAAGTACCAGGAGAGCACAAAGCAGCAGTACCATGCCAGCACACTGCCCTGACGCAGGCCTGAGGAAGGGCCTAAGAGACATAGGGACTAAGGAACAGACTGGGTATATACTATAAGCACAGGCTGTTCCTCTACATGTTGCTCAGATAGCTGGGCTTCCCACATGGTAGTCCTATCCCTGCCTGCTCCTCTGTCCTGGCCAGGCCCACTTCCATACTTGAGTAATAAGAAAAAACTGGATGGAAGTGGGAAAAATGGAGGGCCAGGACAAACAGACAGAGCAGGGCAAAAGAAGCCCTGGCTGCCAGCCACATACACCAAGGTAGGTCCAGGCACGTTTGCTCTACACAGACACTTGGCCCAAAGGAAGCTTCTGACACCTGAAAAGTACTTTTCAGTCTTTTAACAAACTTCCAAACCAAAAACCAAAACAGTAGCCATCAAGTCATTTCCAACTCATGATGACCTCATGAGTGTCAGAGTAGAACTGTGCTCCTTAGGACTTTAATAGCTGATTTTTCAGAAGTAGACCATCAGGCTTTTCTTCCAAGGCGCCTCTGGGTAGACTCGAACCTCTGATCTTTCAGTTGGCCGCCGAGCAGAATTTGTTAGTTAGGAACTAACAAATATCAGTGAGTATTAACTGTCTGCCAAAAAGTATGGTAAATCCTGGGGACATAATGTGTGTGAAGCTCTCAAGGCACTTACTGTCCAGTGTGGAGAACAGACACTAAACAAGCAAAACAGTAAAGTGACTCTTTAGATAGTAAAAGTTCAAGAACAATGAAAACACATAGTAGGGAAACCGCATCTCATCTTGGGCTCAAGGGAGACCTCTTGGAAACCTGAAGAATACAGAGGAGCTGGCCAAGTTTTACTAACTGATTCATTTTTGGAGAGGATGGTGTGTGGAAGGAGCTCTGGTGGCATAGTCCCTAAGGCATCTGACTGCCAACCACAAGGCTGGCGGTTCAAACTTACCAGCCACTCCTCGGACGGAAGGCTGGGCAATCTACTTCCATAGTGATACTACCTTGGAAACCCAAGGAGGGGTCGCTATGAGTCGAATCCGACTCAACAGCAGTGGGTTTGGGTGTGTGGAAGTCATCTCACACACTTTGAGAAAGGTCCAGGTTCTTTGCAGTCCAGACACAGTGTTTTGGAGAAGTACAAAGAAAACAGAAGGATAAGACTGTACAACCTAGCTGTGAAGGGTTAAAGATACTAAGAGAGGGAAGTGAGTGTTGATGTTGGGGAGGCAAACATGTAGGTCCCATTAGGAGGACAAAGGAAGTCAAGTAAAGGTTTTATGTAGGCAAACCAAAACACGATCTAGAAAATTTATGTAGCAGGGGATTCCAAGATGGCGGAATAGACAGAAAGATAGCACAGACCCTCTTCAACAAAGAAAAGGGGAACCAATTAACACAGACACAGAAGATAATCCTGGACCCCTGAGCCTTGAAGGGAAGGA